GGATTGGAGGGATCACTTCTGAGGTTTATCTTACAGGGGTACAAGTGAATCTTTCTAAGAGTAGAATGTGAACATTTTAAAACAATAACTGAGAAAATGACATGAAGGCTGTGTTGACCAGTTTGATGGAAGTATTTTGGATTGGAAACCCCACACTGTACCCCAGAAGTGCATTAATGTACATAGTTACTATTCAATAAAAAAAAAAAAAAAGAAAGTCACTGTGACTCAACCTAAATTGGACAGTGTGAAAGAAGGAACTGTTACAAGATGCAAGCATCTTTGAAGAGATAAACAGAGAAGATCCTCAGATTTTAAAGTTCACCCCAGAAGGGTCACCTTTGAAGGGTCTAGGAAGTTCAACAATGAATGTACTGTTAGGGGTTAAACTGAAAGCAGGGAGATTACTAGGACTTGGCATAAATTATCCAGGCAAGGTAAGGTGGTAACTTAAAATACAGTAATGTGGGATAGATAAATGCGAATGTATTCTCAAGGTAATTGTAGGGTGAATACACGTATCACGTCTGAGTTGCATAAGGAGACTGAAGGAAAATTAGGGCTGATTCTTTGGTTTCTGACCAGGACAACTAAGTGAGAACACAAGGCAATAGGAAATGAAGGGGTGACTTAGTGCTGGCATATTAAATTGGAGACACCTATGCAAATACAAGTGTGACTCTTCAGTAAATAATTGAGTTTAGAGGCAAGACTCTCAAGAAATAAACTTTTTAATAATTTATCCTAACATTTCTAACTCAACTCTGTAAGTCCTAATAAAGTTATAGTTAGGATTATTGTGAGGATGTTCCTTTCCAGCTGTAGATGCTCAGTGAAAACCACAGAGATATTCAAAATACCTACACATTGGGTATGTGCATTTCTACAAATTGCATCATTATAGGCACCAGAAATTTAAAAGTACAACACTTCCTGATGAAATGTAAGTGGATTTACATTCTTTCAAAACCTACAGTAATAGCTGTATAGTGGAAAAGAAGGCAGCTTTTGTCAATAACTAAGTTACCCCCAGAAGGCAAGCTCCAGTAATTATAATCAACTATAGAGAAGTGCAGGTGAACACTGCACACTTCCCCAAGAACAAGTAATATTTGAATTTCAAATTTCTTCTATGAAGATTAAAAATATTCAGTGTGCTCATCATTTAACAAAAGCAGCTACAGAAAGGCAAGTAATTATGAAGAGCTGAAAAACTTGGGGATATCAAATTTTAATGTCAGAAAAAATTAATTGGCATTTATCTGCACCAGTCAGTAACTCTGAAATCCACTTATTTAGGTTCTAACTAACGTCATCCAAATCATCTATCACCAAGGTCTATATGTATAGAGGTCAATCTAATATTTTTAATATTCTGATCTGATTCAATTTAAAGTTTCCTTTTGAATTACAAGAATGAGCTTTCAAGGTTTCTGGACTCATGCGTTTCAAGTAAGGTTGAAACACCAAAACCAATTCTCAAGAAAGTTTTAGATGTTGAATAAGTGTGCCTTTAGGTAAATAAACTTCCTTCTTTAAAGCTAAAAAAATGATAAAATTTGGTGTTTTAATGTAGCAAAAAGCTTGTTTCATTTTCTTACCTACTTCCCAATGATAGATGTAGCTGAGAGTGCTATGTGTATATTTATGCAGGCATTGTGCTAGGTATTCTACATATGTTATCAATCCTATTTCAACAACTCTGAAAATGCGTACTGTGGGTGACACTGTGTGACAGTGATGGCTAACAGGGTGGACTATCTAGGTTCACCTTGGGGTACCACCATTTATTAGGTAATGTTGGACAAACAAGTCAGCCTTTAAATGCTTCAATTTTCTTATGTTAAAAATAGGAGATGTTATAGTATAATGTCATTGGAGTTTTGTGAAGATTAAAATAAATTATTTATACTTATATAATATAGTTACATTATACCCTGTTCATAATCTCTCAAAATGTTTACTATTATTACCATTATCAGTGGCAGTAGTATTAGCAGTGTTTACTGTTAATCCAGTTTCACATAGAATTAACTGAGACCTATGGAGGCAAGTATAGACTCCAAGGCCAACAAAGTTAATTTAAGTGGTACACCCTGGCCTAAGCCACAGTTCCACCTCAGCCCCACCCTAGGCTAAGTTCTTCTGGAGTATGTGTTGAGTTTGCTTTGTTGAATAAATAATTTAAGCAAAGCAAAGAGGAAAAGAAGAGGATTATGTAGAAGAGACAGTGTGATATCTAATTAAAAAAGAAAACCCATGAAACTAAAACTTGACTCTAACAAATATTTATAATATTGAAGCCAATGTCATAGTGGCAGCATTATTAACGTAATACTAACCTGTGTCCTAGATGTCTCTCCCACCTCAGCTGTGTATGTAGATACGGTGGGCAGAAGGGACCTGTGAGGGCGCTGGTGAAACGCTGGTAGGGGGGACTACTGAAGATGTGGCACTTCTACAAAAAGGAGTTGTTGACATCTTAAAGAACATTCCTAAGAGGCTAAGTAGAATATGTACCCTCACATAGTTTAATTCCACAAATCAGTTAGAACTGTGAGTGTAAACTGATACTTAATGATGTTTGAAAATGTTCACTTAATTCTCTTATTCAACATCACAATTGAGATCACAGCTACTCTGATTGGGAGGAGAATTGGTAAAGAGGAAGGGGGAATCCTAGCACTAGGTACAATGTCCCCCTCCAATAATTGGCACTAAAGTGCCAGTCCAAAATACCAGTTTTCACACTCAGCTCTCTGTTAAAAACTTTCCAACCTGGCTACTGACAACAGTGCTGTGCACATCCCACACGCTAACTGAAATGGATGACTCATTATTTTCTTCACATGCCGTGTTTCCACATATTTTCAGTTTCTTGTGTTTCAATGTCTTCCTCCTTCATTCTCATTTACTGTAATGCAATCTGTCTCAGCAGACCTTGTTTAAAGTTCATGTCTTATAGGAGATCCTAACTGATCCTCTAATTGGATAATCATTTAGATCCTTATAATAGTTTTAATTCATTTCTGTGACTTGATCAGTAATCACATAAACATCTAGGTATTGGCGTTTATGTCATTTACCATTTCAGCTTTTTCAACCTCTTTGGCTTTGCATATCTGTTGTTTCAAGAACATGTGTTAAATGAAAGAAGCTATGATAGTTTTAGACACCAAATGCCTTAGAATAGGCAAAAATCTTTAAATTTCAAAAGGGTGAAGATGCTTACTGAGAGCAAGGGCCATCAGTGTTCATGTGAGTTCATTCTAGGAGAGAGAAATTCAATGGGTAGGAAATCATGCTATGTAGAGATCTCAAGTTTGTGCCATATTAGAAAAAGTTTGCTGTGATCCATGAGTGATTTTGAAGTATTGAATTTTTGTTTGTGACATAAAATTTAGAAAAGATGAATTTTTTTCTTTTGTAATAACATTTTTTCACATTAGGGTTAATGTCTTAAATAAGAAGAAGATTATTCTCATATTCCAGATATTCAAGAGACATCTCTTCTTTCTTTTTTTATTACATTTTTGTTTTTGATTTTATTTTTGTCTTTTTGTTCTATAATACTTAGCATCTGAAATAACGTTTCAGTCTCTAGTTTCTAAAATACAAAGTATGTGAATAAAGAAATCTTACCAGCTTTGTTTCTAAATCTATCCTTAGTTTTTAAGTTAGTGCTATGCTCATAAGCACTCAAAACATTGATTATTGTTATTCTTAGTAGCGGCATTTTTTAAAATCAAATTTTATTCAGAAAAAACTGAAATTGTTTCTAAACAAATTCCCAATTTCTAAAGTAGTGTTTGACACACAGGAGATATTTAATATAAATGTATTGAATAAATAAATGGATTTCCGGGTTGGGTTTAAAACCATAGCACAATGGCATTCTCAAAAATATTGTCTTCTCTAATATATGAGCTATATAAAAATGTCATTTCATTCTGTGAGGGACTCATAGTTTTTGATCTGTTGTTAAGTGTGTCTAAGTATTCAGGGTTGCTTTGTGAACAAGTGCAGAATGAATTAATAGGAAATCTTCTCTAAAAAGAAAAATGGTTTATCCAGGCATTCAAGAACCATTGTTTCCAAGGCAGCTCAACTGATGATGGAGCGGTAATTCTATTGTTTCAATAGTTGTAAAAATTTGCCATGAGGATTAATTCTTTATATGTAGATAATGAAATATACCTACCTAATAGGCTGTCATCATTGCAGGTGCCATTACTCAAATATTTTCCTTCTGGGCACACACAGGTGGCCCCAGAAGGATTCAGCAAACATAGAAATTCACATGCTAAATCCAAGCATGGATTGGGTACTGATTAAAACAAAACAAAGGAAAACAAATAAATGCATGAGTATGGATACAACAGGTTTCATAAACACAAAACCTGTAAAGAGAAATGATTAATTAGCAATGCTGAAAAGAAATCACATCTAATTTCTACTGGGAGTATCTCATTTCATTGTTAATGTTCTCTTTTATAGGTGAAAAGAAGTTGCTATACCATTCCCATCACTAATGAGAAGTTTGTCCTAAAATAACACAGAGAAGAAATTATTCTAATCTATACTTTTGTTATTCTTTCTGGAGATTACTAATTTATTGGCAAAAAAACTTCTTAGGATCCAAAGTTCAGTTTGGTGCTGTGCTTAAAAATAAAGCCTACTGAAGTCTTTAGAGGTCTCTCTCTCAGATATCCACAGGACTGTTCACACAGAGACAACTTCCCTCTAGTATTTACACAGGCTTCAAATCCATATATAGTTGTCTATTCAAAGCATAAATTAAAAAATGAGGTTCCCCCCCCTAAAAATCAAGTTTAAAATGGTTTCCTATCCATCAGGCAGGAGTTTGTGTGCATATGTGTGTACCATACATATTTTTGTTAAATATCTATCCAATCAGCATGCTTTCAGTCATAGCTGATCCTTGCCCTTTACTAGAGATTATTTTATTAGTGAGAAAAAGGAATAGCACCTAGATATTTGAGCTGATGACTATGAAAATGGCTTTCTTTCTGAAAGCCATAACATAAACACTACATAAAACATAAACATAAAGTCACTACATAAACATCTATTATATGTAAGGCAGGGTTTTATTTATTAATTTTATATGAATGTTGCAATATTCAACTATGAATATTGATAAAACAAAACTAGGAGAGGAAGCATCTTCGTATTAACCTTGGAATCTTATATGTGAGATCATTGGTAAAGAAGAAGAATATTTTAGATAGAATTTCCATTTGTTTTTGGAAAATTATATTTTATTTTAATGTTCCAAAACTGATTTGGATAAATATCAACTGTTATCGTTCTAGATAATTGCATCAAATAGGGTAAAAATATCTTTTTATTTGTCATAAAAAATTATAAATAAATCATAAGCAGTTTCTTGAAGAGTGAACTGATTATTTTTTTCACTTTGTTCCTCATTGTTTTTGATGGCTGTGTTTGAAACATATTTCTCAAGATAATTACCTCAATGATTATCCACTCTTTTCCACGAGGAAGAGTAACAATATGTCATAAACAATGCATTAGAAAAAACATACAACTCTTAGAAGAGTTCTCCTAAAGGACAGAATGATGATAACGCTATGATAGTTACTTGTTTGTCAGTAACAAGAATCAAAATGGCTACCAGTGAATTCCCTTAATTGCATAGTTCATCTAGAGACCCACCAAGTTTTATTAAGATTTTTAGAAAAACAGCCAGCCGTGGTGGCTCACGCCTATAATCCTAACAATTTGGGAGTCCAAGGATCAGGAATTCGAGACCAGTCTGAGCAAGAGTGAGACCCTGTCTCTAAAAAATAGCTAGGTGTTGTGGTGGGCACCTGTAGTCCCAGCTACCTGAGAGGCTGAGGCAAGAGGACTGTAAGAGTTTGGGGTTGGTGTGAGTTATGACACCATGACACTCTACTGAGGGAGACAAAGTGAGACTCTGTCCCCAAAAAAATCTTTTTAGAAAAACAGAATGGGCAATTATGTATAACACAATTAATTTTAATTAGAACAAAACAAAGCCAAATACTGAAAATTTTAGTAACATTATGTCATAAATGGACACTTTTGCATTGCCTATAACTGGTAATTTGAAAAGGCTAGTAACGTAAATAAATGTTTTTTACAGGGGTTAAGAAATCAAATAGATAGCTAAAATATATATTCTGTTAAGGGGTATAAAAAATTTCACCAAATACAGATAATTGTATAAAATACTATACTTACAGTCTAGTTGTTTATAACGATGAGATATTAAAACACCTTTTGTTTTATCAACATCTAATGACAGGTACTCTACTGAACCATGGCCAAATTTTTGCACTCGAAATACACCATTTTTAGGTCCTGCTCCATATATATAATCTTCAAAAATATCAATCCTATGTGGATGTAACAAACCTAAAATTTTTTAAAGGTGGGGTTATTAAAGTTATAATATATATACTCAGACTTCAAATTAACTAAATTTATCCAAGATCATACAGAAAATCAGAATAATTTGAATGTCAGAATCGGAATTGGAATATTTTTGGAACTAACTGTGAAGTTGTCAGAATTAATTTCTTGGGTAGGGACATGCAAAATATTATACATCTCACTCAGAACATAAAATAAAACCATTTCCATCATTACTTTAATCATCTTCGCCATCGCAAAGCATTTGGTGGTAGTTTTTATTTGTAATCTTTGCTATACAAGTAACAAGCAAAAGAAAACCCTATGAATAGACAAATATTATTTTTAACACAAAACAAGCAGTTCACAAAACTCAATTTATGTTCTGGTTGAAATCAGTCATCAAATCAGATCACATGAATGACAGATTTATTAAATAATCATGAGTTGATTTTAAAGACTAAAATGCAAAAATAATATTTGACATTATCACTGTCTGTTCTAGAAATGGGATAATGAAAAGAAACTGTCACTGACAATCATTCATATGAGTACTCTGACAAAAAATAATACTAATCATCATTCTTCACATTTTATAACTATCATTTTAGGAGATTTTATCAAAAGAACAATTGTTCTAACTTTTGTAACTGAAATTTGTAAGACGTAAATGTCAACATTTCTTTTACTAATGGCTAGACATTGTAAAATGTAAAATTCCTTTTATATTTATGTTTTTCTCCAGTGTTTCATGAAAGCAAAAAGTACATTTAAGCTGAAATAGATTAGCTTTATTATAATCAACTGCAGGAATGTGGTTTCTTTTCTATCTGGGGTTATTCATGCAAAACCCACACACATTAGGCAAAGGCACCATAAAAATTAAATTTAATTATTTTTCTTTCCACTGCCCTGTTTTTGTTAAAAAACAGGACACAAATATACATCCAGTAAATACAAGATGCAAATATAAAAACATAAAGAGTACATTATGAACAATTTGTGGTAAAGTCGTTTGTGGAAAGGACTTGAAAGAGGGCAAGGAAAATGAAACATAAGGGGAAGAAATTAGAATCAGCAGAAAGAACTAAGACGGCAAGGCAAGGAAAGTCAGAGACACGATAGGAAACTGGAAAAGGAGAGAGTAAAAAATAAGATGCAGGCAGAGGGGGGATAGAAAATGGGCGCAGCAACAGAAGAGCACAGGTAGTTGCTGTGGTCACTGATGGTAGAGTTAAATTTGCCTTTTTTACATACTGTTTTTCACATAGATAAATGTATGCTTCAGTAATAACAATTATTACCATGACATCTACACATAATAACTCATTTTCTGCCTGCCATCATTGCAATTTGAAATAAAAGTTAGGTTCACAGGTGCTGATCTTCACCACTTAAAGTTGCCTGCTCATAATGGAATAGCCGCAGAGGCAAAAGAATGAAATTATTTTCTGAATCTGGGCAGCAATGGCTCTTGTTTGTCCATGTCAAGAAGCTTTTCTGCCCTGCTTTTTTTTTTATTGTTGTAGGAATGAAAATTTTAATTAATAGTAAGAGCTGTTAAGTTGAAAAGAGAAAGAATTTAAGGAAATCCAGAATGCAAAGCTTTCATAGTTATATTTTTGAACTATTATTTAATACTCTCAATAACAAACAAAAATGAAAGCACTTCACAAACCTTGCTTGCTGCTGACAGAGACTACTAAATCAGAGCCATCACGTAAAACACTGCCAATAACAGAGAGCTCAAAGTCAGCCCAGTATATGCGCTCACCAAAATAATCCACAGCTAGACCTGCAAAACAACACACACAAATAATATGCTGGAATCACACCTATGGTGCATAATGCAAGGGTACATGTCGGGTCTATTAGTATAGAGTATAAATGTCTTAACACAATAATTTAGTGAACAAGACAGGTATATATTAATCGGTGTGAAGTAAGCATTCTTAATTCTGTATGAAATCCCATAAATGCATTAATGTATGCATGATTTATGTGTTTATGATTTAATAAAAAAATTTTAAAATTATGTTTTTGATTTTAATGTATAATTATGGTTAACCTTTTCCTGTAAGAATCACAGAAGTTTCCTAGTATACATCATGGTACTGTAGAAATAAGAAAAATTGAAATAATCCTTATCTCAACTACACACATTCTGATTACACAGACTTTAGTTAATAAACTATAGCAAAAATCTTACTTCACATAAGAAAAGCTACTTTAACTATCCTTTTGAACCATACTAATAAGTATGGTTTCTTAAGCATGGTCATTCTCTAATGGACTTTTCCATGATATCTCAATTTCTGTCTACCAAGAGCAAACTGTTTACTTAGGCTACTTATCTAGTCACTATTTATAATGATTTGGAGTAATTAATTGCATTTGAGTCTCTTAATGAAGGTATAGTTCTCAGAATATAAGAAGCTCATGAACTTAATAAGAAGACATTTTCACCCATTTGTTGTTAACCTACACTATTGTTGAGTACCTGTGTACAGACTGACGTTGAATGTGATTAAAGATTGATGTTTACAGTAGAGAATAATGAACAGCAAAGTCCTCTAGTGGCACTTTATATTCTCTGAGATCACATGTCTGCATTTTCATCATAGATATGTCTCAGTAGATAACAATAAAATGGTTTTCTATTTGTTTAATTTAATTTTTTTATTTCATAAGTGTGTTTGGAGTCCAGTGAGTAGTTTCTTTCATTTTTATTTCAATTTTATATTGATATAAGGATACAAATGATTAGGCTACACTGTTTGTATTTGTTAGGTAAAGTCCAAGTTGTAGTTGAGCCCTTCACCCAGGAGGTGTGCCATTTACCCCTACGTTGCGCTCGTTAGGTATCAGCTTACCAAACCCCTGCCCATCGCTCCCCCATTTGAATGTAGTTGTGTTTTCCTCTTGTGTGGGCATGTAGTTATTCATCTACAGGTTTTACAGTAGTGTTAAGTATAGTGAATACTTGCTTTTCCATTCTTATGATACTTGGGAGGATGTTCTGAAAATACATCAATGTAAATACAAACGATATAAAATTTCCATCTTTTTATGGCTGAGTGGTATTTCATGGTATACATACACCATAATTTATCCATCCATTTGTGAACTGATAGGCACTTTAGTTGTTTTCACATCTTGTTGAGTGTGTACTGATGTACTGAGCTGCTATAATATTTTGAATGCAAATGTCTTTATGGTAAAATAATTTTTTCTTTCTGGGAAGATACCTAGAGATGAGATTATAGGATTAAATGGAAGGTCTTCTTTTAGCTCTTTGAGGATTCTCCTTCCATACTTCTTCCCAAGAAAGGTATATTAATTTGCAGTCCAACCAATAGTGTATAAGTATTCCCTTCTTTCCACACCTATGCCAGCATCTGTGGCTTTGGGACTTTGTGATGTGGGCTATTCTCACAGGGGTTAGGTAATATCTCATGGTGGTTTTGATTTGAATTCTCTGATGATTATGAATGATGAGCACTTTTTCATATGTCTTCTTGAGAGAAGGCTCTGTTCATGTCTCTTATCCAATGATAAATGAGATTGTTTGCTCTTTTCTGGCTGATTAGTTTGAGTTTTCTATAGATTCTGGTTATTAGCCCTTTGTCACATTTGTAACATGCAAATATATTCAACCATTCTGAATGTTGTCTATTTGCTTTAATTGTTGTGTACTTAGCTGTGCAAGTGCAAATCATCAGGGTGACAGCTAGTAGTTTCTGGCAAAAACATCCTCAATGCATAGAGTATCTTAAAAAGTAAATTTCTTTCAATATAGAACAGTAAGATCTATGATAAATTCTGTAATAAATTTCACTACTAGAGATTAATTATTGACATTGTCTTTAGATATGAAATTATATACTTTGAAAGTTCAATGCAATTAAATACCTTTGGCAGCTGAAGAGCTTTCCTAATCAGAGTATTCTACATAAACAATATAGGAATAAGTGATTGTCAAGGTAACTGAATGAAAGGTATTTTTGAATTTGTGCTAAAGTTACATTCCTGTGTAGGTGGATTGAGACTTAATAATCCACTAAGAATGAAAAAAGTCCATGATGAAAATCATTTGCAAATAATTTTTCAGTTAAGTATGTACATCTGGCCAAATGTTATCGAGCTAATTATAAGTATTGTTGCTCAAGTATAGAGATGTACTATGCCCAACCAGCTTCTCAGTAATGACAATTAAATCAGGTGATCTATGCTTTACTAGTTTCTACTGAATAATAAATTTGATATTTGGAGTCATGTTAAGAGTCAGGCTTTTACATTTTCATGTATGAGTAATATGAAACATAAAATGATCCAATTTCTTGCTGCTACCATTAAGCCTCAAAATAATTGTCTAAGAAGGGCCGAAAATACTTTTCTTTCTTCTCTACCAATGTAGTATAATAACGAAGTAGATAAAACAAAAATATACCACCAATAAAATTGGTTTATATTTAAAAATATTAAATTTGGTAATCATGAAAAAGAATACAATAAATGTGTAATCCAATTTGATTAACAATATTGTTTTTCAGAGTCAGCAGGAGTAGAAAGTTCTCAGAAGTATCAGATATTGCATTATTTGTCTTTGCTCTTCTAAGACATACACATCTTTATCAGCTCTGGGCACATACTGTACTATTGGATTGAATTACATCTAGATTTAAAAATTATATGGCAAAGTTTATCGATGAGTGCGATTTATATTTCAAAAAATCCACAAATCAATGATTTTGATTTCTTCTTAAGCTCTTTAATAAAAAAGACAGTCTTTTAAATTAAAAAGGTAATAAAGGAATCAACTAACTTTTCTTGTTGTAGAGATGAAAGTCAAGTTTATATGAAAGAACAAGTTCATGTCTATCTCTAAAATAGCACATCTCCTTTCTGACTTTAATAAAGAACCAATAATAAAATGGAAAAAAAATCAATTTTCAACAAACTCTTATCTGAACTGAGAAAGACAAATATTTGGAACCACATCACTGGAAGTACTGAAAATTTTAAACAAAATGCTATACTTGTTTTAATCAAATATAATGAAAGCACAATTTGAAAGGTTTATAAAAGATAAAGTCACAGGCTTACTAAGTTTTAATGACACATGATAATCATGTAGTCATTTCCATAACATCTCTCATGATAACAAGACTACAATTACATTTGGGGAATTTTTAAATCTCACTGTTGTTGAAATCTAAAATTTTCTAAGATCCACTAGTTCCCATATTTTTGTTATATTCTTTAAAAAAACAAAAGGTAATGGAGAAAACAAAATCTTATGAGAAATGGCCATAAGTACCCATGTGATACTAAAGAGAGAAGACTTAGAGAGAGCAATATATTAAAATCATTGTTTTTCAGAAATAAAAAGAAGATTATGTATATTCTGTTTTAAAGGAAAGCCGAAATCTGTAAAGTAGTTATAACCAGCAAGTGTGAAGAACCATATTCTTGATTTAAGAAGTGATATAAAAAGCTGAAAACCTGAAGACATTTGCCACTACATCAAATTTATTTTAAAAAATATTAAAAGTATTTTTGAGATAGGTTAACTACTGGTATTCTTAGATTCAAAACAACATTAAAGTCATTTTTCTATATACATACTTTCCCATACATACACACACACGTATATATTTATGACAGTAAAATAAATGTATCAAATTAACATCAAATATTTCTAAAATTTCTGTCCTTTTTTTAAGTTAGAGACTTTTGACAGCCAAGGACAAATAATTTGCTTCATGAATCAAAGAATTACAACTTGCCCAGGGCCAAAGTGCAGTTCTTTATTTTCTTAGAAATTGCTGCAAGTTGGCGTAGATGGCAACATAAATAAGCTTCTACATATTAAAGAATATGGTATTTAAATCAAGCTCCTATAACCTTACATACTCCTCTACTGGAATGTATTCTTATCTGACACATATACATGGGGCACTGCCCTTGTGCCATACACTGCCAGGTTCTAGGCAGAGAGTAAAGGACAAAAGAGATCATGTTCTGGCTTTCATAGCCCAAGTCACTCAACCACCACACAACTGAAGAAGAAGTAAGTTTCTGCTTCTTGTGTAAATATAGTGTCTAATTTTTTAAATTGTGCCATTTGAAGACCTACATTATTCAAATCATTCCTTCAACCAAAACTGTACAATGATTCAATATTGGCAAAAATATCACATCTAAACACCTTGGCATTTAAGATGTTCTATTCTCAGCTCATGTGGTGTCACCCAACCTATCCATCCCTTCCTAAATGCACCATGACATGTGACATCAGCAGAACATGCCATTTGTTCCACATGGGAGCCCTTGGCTCAGAACACTATTTCATTTAATATAGTCCACATGATTTTATGCTATCATTATCCCTTAGTTTGAAAATGATAAAACCAAAGTTTGAAGATAATAAATAAGTTCATTTCTGAAGTCTCACAGATTGTACATCATTCTTGGGATTCGAAACCAAGTATATCTGACTTCAAAGTCAGACCTACAAAGTGTTCTCTTTTCTTTTCTTTTCTTTTCTTTTCTTTTCTTTTCTTTTCTT